ATGAAAGTCATGAATCGTGGAGCCAGGGAAAGACCTGGCCTGGAAGGATGCTCAGGGGTGTCTCTCCCAGCCCTTGCCCAAAGCAGGGCTAAGCTCAAAGCCACACCAGCCTTGTTCAGTCTGGTGTTGGATGTCCCCAACCCTAGAGATCCTCTTTGCCGTTCAGGATCTGCCCCACAGCTGGCCCACTCATGGGCAGGAATTATTTCCTTTTATCAAACCAGAATTTCCCATGTCGTAACTGGGCACCTCTGAGAAGAGACTGTCTCTTTTCCAGTAGCAGAAGACGGTAATTCTGTCCTCCTGGAGACTCCTCTTTTTCAGGCTAAACAAGCCCAGCTCCAGCCTTTCCCCATATGCAGTGGGCTCAGCCCCAACTCTTGGCAATCTGCCCCAGTTCATTGACTTCTCTTACGTACTGGGGAGCCCAAACTGATGGCAGAATCCAGATGTGGAGAGGGAAATAACACTTTCCCTTCACCTCCTGGGTGATGCCATGTGCCATTGGGCTCCAACCCCAGATCCAGGTGTGGATGGGGCTGGGGCACAGCGGGCAGGAGGTGCTAACGTGTCCCCACACTGTGCTTTGCAGGGCTTCTGTGCCTGCTGCTGGGGCTGGGCGTCATCATCCTGAACTCCGTGCAGCCGGAGAAACTGCAGCTTGTCTTTAACCTGGACAAGGGAAAGGGAGACGAAGAGGAGGGGTGGGACAAGTCCTACCTGCCAGCTGAGTCCAGCTCCTCTGCACAAGATGTGCTGATGGTCCCCTTGGGCGAGCTTTGCGAGGTGACAGCCACCCAGCTGTAAGGGGGAGGCAGGGCAAATCCCGAGGACACCCCTCCTGAATTCATGCTCCAGTCCAACTCCACCAAGAACCCAGGTGGGAAAAGACACAAAAAGAGGCAGGTGACAAGAATATCCAAGTCTGGAAAGGTGTCTTAAATATGACGGTTTTCCCTTGGTTTTGGGTTTTTTTTTGTTTGTTTGTTTTTGGGGGGTTTTTTTGTTTGTTTTGTTTTAATGCTGTTGTTTTACTCACCAGCAGCTGGAAGAGCTTTTGGGGTGAGGAGAATCCATGCCCCATCCCTGGTTGTCCAGTTACAGGAACTGGGCTACTGCCCTTCACCTTAGTCCACCCCCAACAAACCCTGAGACTCCTCCCTAAGATACAGAGACTAAACCAGAACAAGCTGGAGAGAAACCAAATAACTGCAGATGCATAGCTATGAACCAAAGGAGAAGCAGAGCCCCTGCAACAGCAACCCCACCCTGTAGGCCCCCGAGAAGTCCCCTCTGCCCAGGGATGCTCTTCCCATCAGTGGTCAGGAAGAGCAAGTGGAGCTGTGCTCACCCGGGTGTCCTGTATCCAGCATCTCCTCTTGGTCTGGGGTGAAGAGACAGTTGGCAAGGAGGCCCACAATTTAGTAGGATGCTGGAGGTACCAGACCTTGGAGGTCTCCTGGATTTCAGACCCATCCTGACATCCCACAGCTCAAGTTTGATGTAAATCTGAGATGTGCTGGGCTGGACACTGGGCTGGAAATGGCACAGTCAGAGAGTTGGCTGGTTGGCTCCAGCTTCTTACACCCCAAACCACAGTCACCAGCCTGTGAGCAGCCTGTGAGTTATCACAGCCCTCTGAAGGGAAGGCAAAATGTTGCGGTGGGAGGGAAGGAGAGGAGGAGACAGGAATGGAGGTGCTACAGTGCCCTGGAGAGTGGCTGTAATCAATTAGCAAGAGGTGAGCATCACACCCAGTCTGGGTAGCTTGTATTCCTCCTGTTCAGCCGTAGAAATACTCGTGTCGTGGGGTGCACGATGGTGAAACCCTGCACACCCGAAGTGAATGCAGCCGCCCACTCTTGGCTGCTGACAACTAGCAGGTACCTTGCCCATGCAGGGAGAGAGAGGAGGGAGCACATTGCAGATTTGCATCCCTTTAACTCTGCAGGTTTTGCAACATTTTTTTTTTTTTCTGTTTTGTGCTCACTTATTTTCCCCTCTGTCTCAATAAAATAAGTTGGACCTGGTCTTTCTCTTGTCTGTTGATAGAGGCGTCCCTCTGAGGGCTGGCAGGCTGGGGTTGCCCTGTTACTGTAGGGAGGGGAAGAACGCAACAGCAAAGCCCTTTTGTGGTCCTGTATGGGGCATCTGCCCACAGCTAGTCAGCACAGGGCAATAAAGGCAAGTCAACACACAATAAATAGGGTATTGGAGCATCCCCAGGCAAATGAGCAGGGGGAATATTGGGAGGACTTCAGCTCTCAGAGTGACCCTGGGCATGTGGAAGGTTTGATGAGAGCAATCCCTAGCCCAGCAGAGAGGTTTGCAGAGGGATCAGAGGCAGGTCCTCTGGGGAGGGAGTGCTCAGACATGGGTCCTGCCCCATCCACTCTGGATGGAAGAGCCTTTAATGAGGACTTAGAGGACCCAACAGGCATTTAAAAATAGTTTCGAACTGAACTCCTTGGGCTTAGGGAGACCTCAGCCAGGACGTTCCCAATGGCATCTACCAGGAGATGCCCCAGCCTATGGATGAACTAGATCCAAGGTGCAACAAACCCCTTTTATTTACTGAATCAAAATTCAGCCCTCACAAACCTCTTCCTTTCCCTAGTGCATTCTCCCTTGCAGCTCAGCCTGGAGGGCAGGGGAGTGGGCAGCTCTCCTGCCTGCTAGATGGCATGGCGGCTGCATGCCCTGGTGCAATGAGAGCCTCCAGGCATGGGGACCACAGTCCCTGCAGAGCCCCGGGCTGTGCTCGCTGAGACACTTGTGGTGTTTGCTCCATTGCTGACACCAGCTCTGTGGTTAGATGCCAGATTCCCTGGACAACATGGGGCCAGAAGCAGCCTAGGCTGAGAGCCAGGGATTTACTGGTGATTATTTCACATCTTGCTGTCCAACAATGGCTCAGTCCAGCCAGAAAAATGAGCCAGGAGCTGCAACGGACAGAGGAGGTAGGACCTGCAGCAGGACAACCTGGGGGCTCTACAGCCACAGCTCTTATAATGCATGTGAAGAAGCTGCTAAGACAACATGTAGTGAGGCAAAATAATCACCCCTGAGCAATGTCCCTCGTGTGTGCACCTCCTGGTGGTGGCAAGGGAAGAAGTCCTCCACCTGCAAATCTCCTTGCAGGTGGCCAGCCCCTGTGACAGAGCCAGCCCCTGTTGTCCTGACCCCCTGCTCTGCAAGAGACATGATACATGAAGTGGTCCCTGCGTCCCCCATCACGTCATTACCACCACTCAGGTGGCCCTGTGCAGGGTCTGTTGCAGGAATCCCAGCTGTCCTGTGTTTGCTAGGAAGCAGGCAAGACACACAGAGGTCTGGTGTCTCTGTGCTTCAAACAGGTTTAATTTTGTTTATATTTTGTTTATTTGGGTTCATGCCCCTGTGTGTCTGATGCAACAGCCCAAAGCTTTTCTTCTAGGGAGGATGCTATTGGCAGGGGAATCACACCTAAAAGCAGGAGATGAGGCTGGAGAATGCCAGATGAGGTGGCAGAAAGGATGGGAAACCCCCAGCCTCCTGTGCTTCAGGGCATGGGATCTGTCCCACAGCAGCCACAATACCTTGGGGTTGGTTGTAGTCTGGACCTGACATGTCCGGACTCAAGAAAGACTTGGGAAAGGATCCTCTTTGTCCTGAGGGAGTTTGGTTGGTTTAACCTTATGGCTTCTGTCCTGGCGCTCAGCTGGTTGAAGCCCTTTTGAAGCTCTCCTACATCCCTACAGCATGCTGCGCCCCACTACAGGGGTTTCTCAGGGGCTCAGCTTGACACGTGCCAGCAAGCCTCATCCTTTCTCTGCCAGGGCAGTTTTGCCCATGGGAAGGATGCTGCTGCTGGGGGCTCGCAAGAAGTTGCCTGCAGATATGCCCCACAGCCCCTTTTTAAGAAGCCAGCCTCCAAAAACGCCCCAAGTGTTTCAAAGGACCAGATCTTTAAAAATGTTTTATTGAAAAATAATCATTGTTGTGCATAACAAATCACTAGTGCAACACAAATATGTGAAAGAATAAGTAACTTATCAGCAAAGGTCTTTTCTTAGAAAGAAAAGAACCACAATACTGAAATTCTGTCCTTTTGAATTAATTGGGCTGAAGCTGCCCGGATCTCCAGCCATTCAGATATGGCAATCTCCTTGTGCCAACCCATGTGGGGTTGGTGCCAGAGCCCATCTTCTGTTTGTAATAATGCAACTTGATGCACTTCATGTCTCACCTTGGCTGGGGCTGACTCCTGGCCTCAGGCTTGCATTTCGTGGTGAGCCCAGCCAGCCCAAACGTGCTCCAGAACTCCCTTCTTCCCTCTCCTTCCTTTCTTGTGGCATCTTTTTGGGTTGTAGCTAAGCTACAAGTCTTGTCTTATAAAGCCCAAGTTTGAAAGTGAAAATAATCACATCACCACATCCCCCTGGCAAACTCTATCATTTACTCAGTCTTTATTTTCAGAGCAGTTTTTTACCCTAGCTCATGCAGCATCCAGCCTGACGGAGTCTGTGCCTGGCTTTCCTGGGCACACCTAATGGTCTACACTTAACATCAGAGTTTGGGAAAGAAATTAGCAGGTTTAATCCCTGGCTTTTGGAGCTGCGGGTGCCCCCCATGAGAAACCTCACCAGTGAGCTCAGTTTCTGATGCAGGAACTGGCCATCAGAGCCTCGCTGCACCAAGCTGTGCCAGGGCATGGAGCAGGAAGGGCTTTTCTCCTGGGACAGAGATCCCCAGGTGAGTGTGCAGCTCCAGTCGCTGGAGCTGTGAACTGTTGTGATTGCAGCCTGCCAGCTCTCTGCAAAGCCTGCCCTTTTCCAGAGAGCACAGCCAGGGAGATACAGTCTGCAAAGGGACTGCTCAGCAAGTACCCGTCCCAGCATGGACTCCTGCATGCTTCAGGGGCAGCTGGATGGGGAAATGGGTCTCTGGGGACATCACAAAGGGTTTGTGCTCTGTCCTTTCAGGCCCACCTTCAGGGAAGGAGTGGGAAAAACTTTCTTCTAGATGCTGCTGGGGTTGAGTTTGGAGGGCTGAGACAGTCCGTTCTTCAGAAAATGAGGGTTGATGTACACCTCAGTTATTTCCTGGCACTCCTCTGCTTTGTCCTCACGGAGATCAAAGAAAGTTTTCAGTAGGTCCAGGTTGAAGTAGTGCAGTGAGACAACAGTGATCCCAGCCACGAAACAGAGCAAGCCTGGAAGACAACATGCTCTCTGAGAGTGTTCCTGTAAACACCAGCACACTTCCCACCCCACACCCCTCCTCTGAGGGCTGCCAGCCAGGGGGCCTTCTCTCTTGGAAAATGGCCTTCTACTGTATGAGGTGGCTTCAGCTGCTGTGCTGAGCATCCTAAAACCTAGGCAAGTGATCCCCATCTCCTTGCATTACTGTACATCAGGGACTAAAACTCTCTCCACCACCCCTGAGATGGGGATGGTGCTCCCCCTTCTGCCAGCCCTCTCCACATCTCTGCCAGGATCTCCTTTGCCAAGGCACAAGCTGGGACTCTGGTGGGCTGCGTTCCCCAGGCTCTCTCACCTCCATTTCTGGGGGGTAAAGCGCTGGGACTCTTGCACACCCAGAGGGACAAGGTGGTGTGCCCTGATGGTGTCCTTACCAATCGCTAGTGTGAGCCAGAAAGATCCCCCGTAGCCTGTGCGAAGGGTTGTGGTCCCAAACTGGATGGGGCACAATGGGGAGTTCCTCACAGTGAAGAACGAGAGCAACGAAAAGATCATGAAAGCCCCTGTGACCAGGAGCATGTAGCCTCCATAGACTAGGACAGGCATGGAGAAGAGGATGTTGGAGATGAGCCAAGTGCAAAAGGCCACCCTGGAGACAAAAGAGAAGACCAGTAGATGAGTAGTGCAAGCACCACGGACTGGGATGTTCTAGGTAAGGACTTCCATGTGGGAGGAGACATCTGAGCTCCAGGTTGCATTGTATGAGGCCAGAAAGCTCTGTGAACAGTCTGGAGTGACCCCCAGGTGGGGATGTGAGAGTTCTGCACAAGCCCATGGTCCTCTCTGGGCCACCGAGGACAGCAGCTCCAACTCCCTCCGTGGGGATGGACCCCTGCCATCATCACCACATCACAGCACGGATCCACATTGCGTTCCTCTCTCTTGTGCCCAGCCCTGGCTGAGCTAACCAGCAGAGAGAACCAGGACCTCCTGTATGCTCACCCCAAGGTGCCTACAGGGCCACCTGTCTGCCCGCAGACCTTGCAGAGGCCCCTCCACGCACGTGGATTTCCTCCTGGCAGCGTGCACTCCCCATCCAACTCAGAGGCCTAGGGACAAGGCAGCAGGGCCCTTCCCACATCCTTGCATCTCCCCTGCCTGTCCCGGGACAGAAAGGCTCACCAGAGAGTGGCCGATGCGTAGTGTCCGGAGATGCGGTACTGCCTGTGCACGCCACAGGGGCTCTGTGTGGTGAACTTCTCCGCCACATAGAGGACGGGGCTGGGGCGCCCCCGGGGCTGGGCAGCCCCTTCTCCAGGCCTTCAGCATAGCTGTGGTCATAGTCTGCACTGAAGCTCCAGGCAAAGTGCTCGTTGTAGTTGATAGTCTCGTTGACCTGATTCACCGGGTTTCCTGCCGGAGGGAGAAGACTGAGGACCTTCTGCATCCCAGCAGCCTGGGACACCCAGTGCCAGCTGCATCCCAGCAGCACGGGCACCCCAGTGTCAGCAGGGTCCCAGGAGCCCTCACACCGACCAAGGCCACACACAGAGCACTTGGAGACCTCCTGGGGCCATCAGACTCACCCACCAGCGTGATGTTCACCCCCGCCAGACCAACGTGCAGCCCGATGTCCGCGTTCACCAGGGCATGGCTGAAGGACTTGTAGGAGGTGTTTGCTGTCACCCAGCCAGTCTCCCAGTCTCCTGTGAACTGGACAACTGACAAGAAAAATAAAGATTGAGTTTAAGAGGGGCTGGTCTCAGGCTTTGCTGTGCTCAAGGTGGGGATCACGGGTGAGCACAAACAGCGGCGTTCCCACCGTGGCACTACAAGGGAGTGTGAGGAGGGCAGAAGAGCTGACTCAGGCACTGGGGCATGCCTCAACCAGCTCCCACGCCCTGCAGAGCTCATGTCCTCCCCTTGCCGAGCACCCAGTCCTGCAATCCGGGAGTGGAGGAGCTCAGATCCCCAGCGACCAACCCCATGACCCGATTGCTCCTTGCACATCCTCTCCAGGACTTCCCTGCAAGCTCCCTGCCACAGTGAGCACGGCGGCCGCCAGGGACAGGGCTCAGAAATGAGCCCATTCCTCAGCCTCGGGAACAGGGCTGAGTTTCATTGACAAATATTAAGCTCCTTAGATCGCATTATTAGTGAATAGTGAAGATCTCTGTCAAATGGAGGTGGTGGAGAGCGGTGGCAAGTGCCACCACAGCTCTGCCAGCAGTTTCAGCTGGGGAAAAAATAAAAATTTGAAACATTTCTGATATATGTTTTGTTTTTGAACAAAGTATCATTTTCTGAAACACTTTCACTTTATGGTGGGCTTGATTTTCCAGCAATGAAATGACCTGAAAGTGAAGGTGATGATTTCATCTCAGGCTGAACAAGACCTTTTAAACCTGCCTGAACGTAAGTTCAGCTGCCAAATCAACTTCTGAGGGCACTGATCCAGTAGCAGCTCGGCAGGATCAAGTGTACCTTGCTGCCGCCAGACAGAAACCCTGACGCTGGCTTTAAAACAAATAATTCCTCCTGTGTTCCCAAGCAGCACCCAGCTGCATCCTTGCAATGAGACCGGATGGCTCTCCAGGGCTGAGCAGGTTAAAGCTGTGGAGCAAGCACCAACCTCCACCCCGCTGCCATCTCCAGCCTGGCACCATGTTCCTGGGCAGCTCTGGTGGCATCTCCCAGCACCTGAACATGCCCAGGTGGAGGGTGACCAGCACATGCCGAGCTGGCCCATGTGTCACCTGGCAGAGTCCCGTGGCTGGTCACAGCCTGGCTATCTACCTCTATCACCTGGTCGAATCAAGAGTTGAGTCATTTAGGTTGTGCTTCATCATCCTTCTCCAAGCAGTCTTGTAATCTGCCCTGTCCTTCACAGCAGGAGAGTCTTTGATTTAGGTTCACGGCTGATTTCTCTCCCCATCTGGCATCTATCCCCTCAGTACATCTTTCACTTAGATGTCCTGTCATCCTGTCTGAGTTGGAAATCCCACAGCCTGGTCTCCATCACCAATCCCATTTGTTACAGAAGATTTCCTGGTTTCTACTAAATCAAATCTTCTTCTTCATCCCCTTCTGCCTAGCTCCTTGGAAGGTCTTTACCCTCCTCTGCCCTGCCTGTGTTTTATTTTGACCTGCTCTCTCCACATCACTGCAAGGCTCCTCTCATCCTCCAAGCACACCTGGCTGCAGTCCGATTTGCTCAGCCATGCTCCCTTGGCAGCGGGCAGCTCAGGACTTGCACGGTCAGAGGAACAGGGGGCTGGGCAGCCCACCAGAGCTGGGGCCGTTTGACCTCCGCAGTGCAGTTACAGCCAGCAAAGCTCCCTCTCAACTCCGAAGTGGCCACGGGCACCTCCAGGTGCTCTCAGCCCACGTCCCAGGGATGGGGACACATTTTTTGGGAAGCTGTGTGACTGTTTTGCAGAGCAGGGGTAGGGTAGACCCTGCAACCAGTCTCAGCCAGGCTGGCTGTGACCACCAGCTCGCATTTCCCAGACACAGACCCTGCCCCAGGGTCTAATGCTGCCCCCAGACCCACCCTCCAGGGGCTGCGCAGCACTTACCGACAATCACCACTCCCACGAAGAGGCTGAAAAAAACCCGGAGTGTCCAGTACAACCTCTGCGGGTAGAGAGGTGGGACATCAGGCAGGGAAGAACAGCCCAGGATCCCACCTCACCCGAGCCAGCCAGGAGCGTCCCAGCATCCATGGGGAGCAGATGCTTATTCCCAGGGAGAGGGGTCACGCACCGCCCGTCCGCGGATGCCTGGGATGATGAGCAGGAAACTGCAAGCGACCGTTAGGAAGACCACGATCACTATGATGGTGCTGACATCAAACACGGAGCTCTTCCTCTGCTGCGCGTAGAAGGGGTAGACGCCATCAAAGAGAGTCATCCTGCACCTCCAGAAGCCTGTGGGAGAGAGGCGGTGACAATGGGGACCCTGCACTACCCTGCCCAGCTGCCTTCAGCCTGTGCTGGCCAGCCTCAGCTCAGCTCTGGAATAACCAGCTGCGGGAGGTCCACCTCAAAACTCCCCAGAGGGACAAGGAAATGTGATGCTGCAAGGAAACAGACAGGGTGAAATACTCCCCAGCAGAGAAACACGCCACCCTAAAGCCCTTGCGGGAGGAGAGGAGGTGCCTGGGGCAGGGCTCCACCAGCTTGGAGAGATTGTGGCAGCCCAGGGAACCATGAGCTGCTGTCCTGCTGCAGCTTGAGGAGCAGCCCAAGCCCAGAAACCTGTTGAGCAGCTCCTGCCAGGACAGAGCTAGGTCTTTCCCTCTGTCAGATGCATCCAGGGCTTTCCACTTTGTGGTGCGCCCTTGGAGGAAGTCCACAAGCCAGCAACCACCAGCAGATGCAGCCTTCCTCCAAAATGACAAGGAACCACTGAGAACATCGATTTCACCATAGCAAAATTATCCCCAGCCAGGGGCCACCATCACCAAACAGAACAAAGCCCACCACCCCCATATCTGGCTTGTCTCCTTGAAGAGGCTTTTCCCCAGGACCTGGAAAGTACAATCTGGGGAGGGAGGACCATTCCTGCGCTTGGTCCAGAGGGGCCAGAAGCAACCTCTAGAGTTGGGATGTGGGTCCAAGGAGCACACAAACTTCAGGAGCACATGAACTTCAGGAGCACATCTTAAGGCTAAAGGAAACTGAGTTGCATGAAATGATGAAGTGTAATTCCCATAGGCAACCTTGAACTCCCACCGACACTTTAGCTGTAGCAATTATAGAGCTTCCCCCTGTTCCTGGGTTAGATCTTTTCTACCAAGCCGATTACATGCTTAGTCCTCTTATTTTGCTTATTTAATAGCATCTCTGCATGTAACTACCCCAGGAAGTCTTCTAAAGTCAGGAAGCGCCAGAGCTAATACGACTCATGACCAAATACAATTTCATTCTGTCCCTGCAGGGACGAGTTCATTTTATTATCCTTTTCTGAAAACAGTATTAATCGTATTTTTAGGTAAGATCCAACCCAGAGCAATTCAGCCACGAAACAGCAGGTCCCAAATCCCTAGAAGTGGGTAGGGATTACAATAAGTATCACAAAACAATTCACTTGGACAGCCAAAGTGACTTTTTAATGCATAAAGCAATGTTTGGTTTCAGAATAATTGTCTGTCCAGTAACCCAGATCATGACAGTTTAACACAGACTGGGTTTTTACAACTGGCTCATAAATGATTTAGACCTGACCTTATCTTGACTCTCTGCTCTGGACTAACAGAGCTATCATGTGTAGTTACAAATCTTATTTTGGGCTATTTTGCTGTAACTGTTTTGGGCTACATCCCTGGAAAGCCAAGCCCAGAGAAGGGCAGCCTTCAAGCACCATTCTTGCTATGATTACCTGGCAAGCAGGAGCTGTAGTTGATTCCCAATGCTGAAGTCTGGCTGTGGGGTCCCCAGCTCAGCAAATCTGCCCGCAAAACAGTCTGAGTGGCTGTAAGAGAAGAGATAAATGAACAGTTTAGCCTAGGACAGGTTAAATCTTGATGGTTTGAATTCCACTGGTTTCATGATATCTTTGCTCAAATTTCATAGGAGATGCAATGAGGGAAGGAACATTTTCCAAGTCTGTTTTCACCAAAATGCAACTCTTCACAGCTTAGAACAGATCAACAATACATAAAAATTGATAACTCAGAACATAACATGGAAAGTGTCGCCTTTTTAAAATCTAAATTTAACTTTCAAACAACATCAAGGGATGTTTGCATTGCCTCTACACTTTGCAACTTCTGGAAATAGTTTAATAGAGAATTTCCAGGGAAACAACTCCTTCTGTTGCAGTCTGCTCAATCTTTCTTACTTGACTACCCTGCACAGAAGACCAGCTCCTTGGCATTTTTGCAGCTTTGAAGTGCCTGCAGCTCAGGGCAGGAGAAACTGAAGTTGTTACACCTTGGAAAGCATCCTCCATGCAGAAGCATGGCTGTGGCCCTAGAGCCCCTGTGGTTTCATCTTCACGTCATTTAGCAGAAATGGACAATTTATCTTTTGTTTAAAAGATTCTGGGCTGGCAGGGGAGAAGGGCAAAGGAGGCAGAATTTTTGCCCAAAGTGCAGTAGCTTATAAAACCCCATTTTCCTGTACCAGAATGAATCAAACTAGAAGGAAACTTTTGGAGGCGCCCAGCCAAAACGTCCTCATAGCAGAGCCAACAGCAATCCTAGACTGGGTTGCTCAGGGCTGCAGATTAGTATTTTGCATTGAAACAAGGGAAAAACTGTCACCTGGAAACTGAATGATCAGGGCTGCAGTTCATGGGTAGGGGGACACACCTGTAAGAGGGTCAAATCGGGACAGCAAAAACCGACAAATTAACTCAGGATGGGGATTCATCCTCTCGTCCCTGCCCTCACCTAGCCAGCACCCCTCCAGCAGGGTGAGGCAGCCTCTGGGGCTGCTCCCCGGAGCTCAGAAGGGCCGGACCGGGAG